TCAGTGTTGTCTCTGTCACATACCATAAGCTGAATCATAACTAACAGCTAAATTGCCTCTTTCAAAGCACACCATAGCTGCATCCTGACTACTGTCTCAATAAAATTTTCTAAAGGTTACACTGGGCAGTCGTTGTCAAAAAAAAATAACCAGTGCAAGGAGGGCTTCTTGAGAACAATATGCAACATAGCTAGTTTCAGGATTGCTGGCACTGTGTCCTTTGAAACCTAGGCACTAACAATGACTTACTAGCAAACTGCTGTACAAAGTATAGTGGCCAGGTGGGAGATCTACCTGATGTTAAATCTGGAAAAGAGAAGTTTCACTAAAAAAGGCCATTGATACAATAAAGTAGGTGAGGTTAGAGTACTTTATCTCTATTATTATGATGTTGTAGGCCCAAATCTTGAGATGATACTTGTGTTGGCAAATTGTATTTTTTATTTTCCTCCACTGTTTTCTCACGTGTTCCTTATATTTTATTTATTAGTAATTTGAATTTAAAGAATATACAGATGAATTTTAGAAGGTGCTTCTAATTTGTCTGCTAGAGCTCTTTAATAAACCAAGGAACCACCTGAAATGAGCACACATGAGTCTACGTCATTTGCTATTGACAGTGACTAACCAGGCATGCAACAGAACTGCCTAACAGTTCCCTGAAAACTTCTTAAATACCTCCTGGAATCTATTGGGGTTCCTGAGTTGCCTGGGATATCACCTAATAGGCTTTCTCACCCCAGTCTATTTCACCTGGACAGGGAAGTTATCACATCATGACAAAAGGATAAGGGACATCTCCCCTCAGAGATAAAAATGAAATGAGATGCCAAGGCAGTGGTCACTTTAGAGACCATGAACATCTTACTTCTGCCACAACTTTTCACCTGTGTTCTACCAAGATTTAAAAAATTCGACACTAGGATTAGTGATTACAATTAGAAAAAAACTAAAGATTACAATTAAAGAACAAAGAATGGATAAAAATATTTTGCAGATTGGATATATTGAAGGATATTTTTTAACAATGGACCCAGAAGCTAATTTTAATAGCGTCTGACTCTATAGATATTCAATGTGTTATGGAAGAGGAACAAGTTCTGCTTGACAAGATTGAGACTGAGTTGAAAATGGATTAAAAAATGACAGGCTACAAAAATAATGTGGGAAAAGATGTTATGCTGGTCATACAAAAGAAACTGGCTTGTGTCTTAATAATTAAAAGGGGTATTTAAACAACAAAACAAGAGAATAACAAAGATAATTTTTCTATACTGGATTTGCAAAACAGGCATCTTAAAGTTTAAAGAATTTTTTGAGAAGAAAAAATGAAATAAAATTCTGGGACATTATTAAAGTATTAAAGATCAAAACTGTTAAAAGTAAAAGGAATATAAAGTCGGTTTATTTGTTCAAGGTTAAAATAGATAAATTGCTATCTCTAGTAATCCTTATTGGATTTGTTGATATCAGACCTGAAATGATGATGTTTTAGGAAGTTTTGGGATATGGGGAAAATGATCATATTTTAAGAGAAGGTAATAAGTTATTTCAATTATCATACTTACTGTGATGAAGGTGGGAAATTACTTATTTATATATTACTTTTTTCCTTTTATATATTTTATTTTTTTATTTTCTATTTCTCTATTTCCCCCATTTTTACATCTTCTACTTTTTATTCTTTCAGGTTTTTGTATTAGTTTTTATTCTTGTTGTAATGATACATCTTAATAAAATTACTATTTAAAAAACAATTTTGAAGCACTTTTGACAATAGCTTAAATTTCAACATAACATCTGCCATATTCACTGAAGCAAATTCAAAATTAAGGTAACTCTTTAACCCAGAGGAAGAGTGCATTCCATGCTACTTTTATGAAGGTAAATGTTCCCCTTGCATATATGTGCTAGTCGTTCCCAACTCTAGGGGGTGGTGCTCATCTCCGTTTCAAAGCCGAAGAGCCAGCACTGTTCAAAGACGTCTCCATAGTTATGTGGCCAGCATGACCAAATGCTGAAGGCACACAGAACACTGTTACCATCCCACCAAAGTGGTCCCTATTTTTCTACTTGAATTTTTACATGCTTTCAAACTGCTAGGTTGGCAGAAGCTGAGACAAGTAATGGGAGCTCACTCCATTACATAGCGCTAGGGATTCGAACCGCTAAACTGCTGACCTTTCTGATCGACAAGCTCAGCGTCTTAGCCACTGAGCCACCGTGTCTCTTTTATGAAGTTCACACATTGTCTAATACACATAGTCTACCAGAGCTTTTCATTATCATTCAGAAATTACAAATAATGTGCTACATGTAGAGCCATCACTTATTAAGCAAACATTTATTAAGCAAAATAATGTCCCTCTCAGGTATTTGTATTATTTATCAACCAGTGCCCCCTCTCCCTTTCTCCCTCCCTCCCCCCCCTCTCTCAAATTCCATTGCTTACTTTTTGCAAAGAACACTGTGGCTTTTTACTTGTGAGGACAAGAGAAGTTACTCAGGCTGTAAACAAGAGAAAGAGAGACAGAGCAGAATCTGGATTTTGTTAGCACAGGATGCAGCTGGTCTTTCCCTAAGAGGGTTTGAGGAGGAGGGAAGAATCTGTTCTACCTTCCCTTCACAATAATATCCGCTGTGCATAGTAAATCTTGTTTATAGTCAGTTTAGGTAATCCAAGTATCTCCTTTAAAAAGATAAAAGGTAATGTGAATTAATATAGATCATATCTAAGGTAAAAGCAACTCTAGCACAACCCTGCCTTTTTAAAGTTCTGATTAAATTCAACAAAGCCAAACATTTGCTACCCAAAAGCCAGCAAGAAAAATTACTCTTCATGCCCAGCAGGATTTGCTTTCTCACAATGTGTGGATTGAGTTGCAATGTCTGGTAAAATGTCCCCTCTCTTTTATTTCCTTGACACTCAGTAGAAACCTAAATGAACTGGATTCTGCAGAATTGCAGAGGTGTCCCGTTCCTTTTCTGCCTGCTTTATGTCATTGGAGGTGGGATGACAGGGGACAAAAGAAGAACCTTAGTAATGTTCCCATTGCTTTTCCAGCTGGATAGTTAGCTTGGTTTAATGAAGAAAGGGGAAGTTGCATACATCTGCTTTCTATGGAACTTTGCTTTGGCGAGAAAAGGAAGACACTCTAACTTAATTGTTGCTAATGTTTTCATTAGCCCTTTTCAACTCAGAAGAAAAACATCACCAAACTTCATATTCATAAGTTGTTTTGTTTCCATCTCTCCAAATCAATGACATTAAAGCTAATTACAAATTTCAGAGGAATGTGAATTTGTTTCCTTCATGGAAGGAAAAGGCACTGCAGAAGCCAATAGGGAAATTATAAACTTCTTGGACTGAATTAGGTTTAGGGCTGTGTGTAGGTTGAAAATGTTCTGATGCTACAGGTCATATATAGTTGTCTACCTTCATCTCCTTTCTAATCTCTCCTTGAACTGATTATGGTGTTGCAGTCCATTCACAAATCTTGTTGGTTTTTTTGTTTGAAAAGTACTTAAATGTTTGATCTGGTCAAGGAATACAATAAAATACTACTACTACTACTACTACTACTACTACTACTACTACTACTACTACTACTACTACTACTACTTCTACTTCTACTTCTTCTTCTTCCAGGTAATTCTTGACTTACAACCACAATGGAGGCCAGAATTTTGGTCATAATTTTGGTTGTAAGTCAAGACACCACACAAGCATATTCCCAATTTATGACCACTTTACAGTCCCGTGGCTGTTAAGCAAATCCAGCATATACAATGGATATTTTTGCCATTTTCTGCTAATTGTGGTCACAAGACCATGGGACACAGCAACCAGTTCTAAATGATGACTGGTTGCTAAGGTCCAAAATGCAATCATGTGTCTTCAGGGGTCTTTGTGTGCAGCAGTCATAACTTTGAGGATGGATTGTAAGTATCTTTTTTGTCCTTTGTAATTTTGAACAGTTGTTAAGTGCCAGTCAGGTTATAAGTCAGAGTCTTTGTATATGCACTCAGATCAAACCCTCTTCCACTGTTTGTAACCAGTTCTTCATTATCAGTTAATTGGGGCTTTGGTGAGGATGTTCATCCGTTTGCTACTGCTATATTTTGAATTATGTTTTCTTGTCTGCTTCCTATAATTTTATGTATCTTGATCATGTCTCCATTTAGTCACATTTGTTTTTTGAGGTAAAGAATCTTCAGTGTTGTGTCTCAAAGAACATGTGTTCAAGTCCCCAGGTCATTTTGGTTATAGTCTTTAATGTTTTTTCCATTTCTGTTATATTCTTCTTAAGATGTGGCAGCCAGAACTGTACACAGTTTTCCACATCTGGAGAAGTAGACTTAGAAAGTGATGCAGATGTTAACAGGATTGTTTATTTCTTCACTTCTGCTCATTACTTTTGTTTCCGCAAAACTGTGCAGTATACTGAGCCATCTAGTGTTCCCACCATAGATTGCATAAAAAACAAAAAAGTAAGAGAAATGTTATGACAAGTGTTTGACAGTACTTCCAAAATAACATATCACTGCTAGTGCTTTCTCATCCAATGGAATGACTGCTTTCTGTAATCCAGGATATATGGAGATGTTCTTGTGAGATATGATGGCTAAAATATTGAATCAAAAAGGTTCAAGTTCACTATCAGCCGTGAAAGTTCAGGGACAATTTTGAGCCAATCCCCCTACCTCTCCCCAGCCAACATCACAGTGTGGTTTTTGAACAGATGTTGGAGAAGTTATACTATGCATGTCACTGAGCTCCTAGAGGAAACTTAAATAAATAAAATGAAATTGTGAATTTACTTTCATATCATACCAGGGTATTTTAGCCAGTTTCTGGAAGCATCTGAACTGAGATAGTTTGATGGTCTCTTCATTCCTGTCCTATTTTGTTCTTCTTTTTGCTGTCTTGCTACTTTGCTTGTCAACACTGCCACACTTGTGTGTTTCACTAACTTGACATCTGTTCTGTTTCAGGAGAAATCTGATGCCAGCTCCACATCCCTACAGCTGCAATCCCAGATTGAAGTAAGCACAATGGATTCAATTCTTTATTTTTGTTCCTGCATCAATCAGATAATAAAGCTTTTGGTTGTTCAGCCTCAACTCAAAGCAATGAATCTTCTCTTCCAGGAATCCCTTGGCTTTAGCAGTGTAGCATCCACACCAGAAATAGAAAGAAAGTAAGTAGGCATTTATACTTCTGCTTTACATTCTGCATGAATTACTAATTCATATCAAAGGGTTTTACTTCTACGTGACCACATCACAAGATTCAATAAGCAGCAGCTTTTTCTTTCTTTGCCACCGGTGTGTATTCCCCCAATTTCACACAAGTTATATTTTCTGTTTTTACAATATAGTGTCTGCTCAAATAACAAGACTGATAGAATGAAACGTTATTGATGTTGCACTACACAAAGAATAATGTAACTTCTCCAGTGGGTAATGTAGTGTAGGAAACTAGCAGCTTGGGTCCCTTTGACCTGCGTCAGGGTTTTGTACATCTAAATTTCATAGTTTCAAAAATAATTGCAAGAAGGTGGGCAGATGGGGATATGATTTCGCCTATTGCCATAGGAAATATGGTACCAGACATCTACACAAGAGCATATCATTTGAGAAAGGGAAGTCATTCCAAAGTCCCCAAGGGTTACAGGCATTTGAAGTCCAAACTGAAATTTAAGTGGGAGGTAAAGGAGGTAAATGAGTAAGCTGATCTTTTCAGAAATGTGTCCTCCATTGTTTCAAACGTGACACCAAATGCAACTCCAGGATGGGGGTGGTGCAATGGCTATCATTATTCCGGAGTCGTGACTTTTAGGGGTGCTGCCCCAAAGATAGCCAGATATGACATGTTTTTCGTGAAGTTGGGTCTCAAGGATCTTGCTGTTTTTCTACCTTTCTCCCCATGGGGTGTCAGTGGCCCTACCCAAAGTCCTGGACTTCATGGCAGAGTCAACAATGAAGTTCCCAAGCTTATAGTTCTGGAGGACTCCAACCTGGGAGTCCTCTCTGGGCCTGAAATTTTAGGTTGTCCGGGAGTTTATGGAACCATAGTAGCAGCTTATTAATAGCCCAACTTGCAGAAGGGATCATGCATAAGATCTGCTGTTTGGCTTGGGACAGTAGCAAAGTGATGTGGGGTTAGGAGACCTCAGTACCTTGATATGAACAGATCATTCCCTCTTGGTCCTGGAGTTTCCTGTGACTTCCCCCCACTGCAGGGAGTTTGGGCATTTTGAATTAGTCCATGGCAGGTGGATCCCAGTAGAACTTGAGCTTGCTCTGGTGCTTGATTCAGCTTTGTTGCAGCCTGGAATGAGCATGTGACAAGGGCCTTGTATTAGATTGCCTCTTTGTGGATACTTTGGTTGTAGATCCCATAGGGACCCTTGACTTATGGACCAAGCTCTTGGAAATGAAATGACACAAGGCACACAGTGCTGCTGGTGCAAGAAAATCATGCACAGGTACCAGCCTGCAGTAGGATTTACTTTGTGGCACTTAAGAGCAGAAGAACACTCTGACTTATCTGCTTTTATTGTGTATACGGATGGTGGCCGGTAATCCTATTTTGGATAATCAGGCTCTTTCTGGGTATAGCAGGGGATAGGTGAACACTTGTGGGGTTACTGTGAGGATTATTCTAGGTATCCATCAAATAAAGTTGCTCCACTTTGGAATATAAACCTAGCTGGGCAGATCCAGTGAAAGTGACTGAGGCATGTCCTAGCTTGCTTATCTGGGTAGAGTTTGAACTGGTCAATCTTCAAGAAGTGGACCGGGACCTTAATGTTGTGAGCTCTGCCACCTCCCAGTTGATTAAGTCGTCCAGGGAATTGGCATGTGGTTGGGTCCAAGCAGCAGTAAATGCCTTCTTGCTAGAGCGAGTGGTTCCACCATTCTTGCCCCTTCCTCAAGAGACCATCCTTGGATCCTATGCTTTTTGATACCTTATGTCCAGTTGCCAAACTTCTTTTTTTCAGGAAAGTTGTTAAAAGATTGGTGAGCTCTCAGCCAACAGATGGCCTTGGATGAAGCAGATTATCTGAACTCTTTTCAATTAGGATTTAGACGAGGGCTATTGATCTAAAGACAGTATTGGTGGATCATTGTGGATGATTTTTGGAAAGCTCAAGATGTGTGTGTCGGTGGGGGAGTGTCCATCCTGGTTGTCTGGGTCTCCGGCTGTCTGATGCCATCAGCTATGTTATATTGCTGGACCTGCTTCTGACGCTGGGGGTGGGAGCAGAGTTTTGTTGTGGTTCACCTCCTTTTTCCATTGGTGGTACCAGTCAGTGCTAGTGGGGGAAGAGAGGTCCAGCCCTAGGCTCCTATAAATGGAATGCCTCAAGGTCTCTCCCCTCCTATTTAACATCTATATGGAAGCACTGAGAGGCCATCTGGGTTTCGGGATCCTCAATTTTCTGATGATACCCAATTATGCATATGCAAGGCGATAGATCAGCACCTGATGGCTATAGGGAGAAATCAGCTGTGACTCATCCCTAACAAGATGGACTGCTGATGGGATTTTGGCTCTGAGAGTCAGGAGAGTAGACATCTCTGAGTCTGGATGGGATTACATCCCCTTCTACAGATTTGGTGTTCAAATTGGGGTCTTCTTAGACTCGTGGCTCTTCCTGGTGGCCAAGGAGGCTTTTGAACAATTCTGCTTTATACCAGTTGCATCCATTCCCGGGTCAAGAGGCCTTCCTTGTGGTCACCCATGCCTTAGTTACCTCCTTCTTTGGATTACTACAATATGCTCTATGTGGGCATTCTCTTGAAGACCATCTGGAACTTGTAACTGGTCCAGAATAGAGTGGCATGCACAGTTCTGGCTACCCCATGGTTCACCCAAGCAACACCACTGCTGTATTACCTGCACTGGCTTCCAATTGTTTTCAAGGTGCAATTCAAGGTGCTGGTAATCATCTTTTAAGCCCTTCATGGCCCAGGGCCAGGTTACCTGTAGGACTGCCTCTCCCTGAGAGTATCTGGCAATAGAAATTCGTATAAGTGCTTATAATAGCAACAGTCCCACAATTCATCTCACTTTTTTTCCTTCTTATATACTGTGTAGGATTCTTTTATGCTTTTCATCTAATATAAGAAATATTCTTTTGATAACCAGGTTCAATACAGCTAGAGAGTTAAGTTCTAAAGAAAACAGGATGCAGAGAGACTTTAGCTTCCAGAGTTTGAAAGCAAGATGAAAGTTAAAATGGCTCAACCATTTCTTTGTGAACGCAGTATCTTAATTTTCCTTAGCATTATTTATTGCCTTATAATTCAATGCACACTCTTCAAGTGGTGCTTTACTTTAATACTGTCTTCAGAGGTTCAGCAGTGATAAAGTTGGCAAGTATTAGAGAGAAGGCCTTCTCACGGATAACTCTATCAATAAAATTTCCTCTTAAGCCAAAAATTACTCATTTGTCACTCAGTGTTGCAAATGGTTATAATCACTCACCAGTGAGATGGCAGAATGTTCTGGTTCCTTTATGAATTTCGACTCTCTGGCTTTCTACTGAGATTTTGTACCGTTTCCTGCTGGTATATTTGAAATTGTACTTTATTTTAACTGATTTCTTTAAAATAGCTTACAATTAACCAGTTTGATAGGGAATTGCACTGTTACCTTTAAAAGTTTACAGTGCAACAAGGATATTTACCCTATTTTTCAGAGTATAAGACACACCTTTTTCTCTCAAAAAAGAGGCTGAAAATCTGGGTGCATCTTATACACTGAATACAACATTTTTTGCCTCCTGAAACCCCGCCCCTTCACCAAAATGGTTGTGCAGAACTTGTAGGAGGCTTTCAGAGTGTTCCTGGGGGCTGGGGAGGGCAGAAGTGAGCGAAAAACAGGCCGCTTTTTGCTCAATTTTGCCTCCCCCCCAATCCCCCAGGATCATTCTATAAGCCTCCTAAAGGCTGTGCATGCATTTTTTTTGACAAAAAACAGGCTGTTTTTTGCTCGTTTTTTTTGGGGGGGGGCAGCCCCCAGGAACACTCTGCAAGCCTCCTAAAAGCTATTCATGCCTTTTTTTAAAAAAGGGGGGCCATTTTTTGGATGTTTTCAGAGTGCAAAAACATTTTTTATTTGCCTCTTTAAGATCTCCAGTGTGTCATACTCTGAAAAATACGGTAACTGTTACCCCCAAAATAAAGTAAAGGGTTGCCATAAAAACATTTATGAGGGCATACATGAAAATTAGATGTATCCTTTCTCCTTCATGTGAATGGTTTTCTAGAAGTGGATGCTTTGTTGATAACTAGATTCACCTTCTTATAGGTGAAATTGAATCTGAGCAGTCAGCCATTTACAAGTGCAGGATGTCATCAGTAAAAGCAGGCAAAGTCACCAGCAAACACACTGTCAAAAACTAGCTTTCCCAGTTTCTCTTGTCACAAGTAAAATTTTCTAGGGACTGTTGAGTCACCTGAGAAGAACACAAATACCTTGCCAGGTAACACAGTCAATCTTTAAATCACATTTTAGGTGTCATGCATGCCATTCTTATTTGTATTAAGCAAATCTCAAGTGATAAAGTCCATTAAAATTTTAGTCTTTGACTCAAGATTCAACCTCTGGTTCATTCTCCTAATCTCTTAACTGAAGGCCACATTGTATAAAAATTAATAATTAGTATTCACATTCCTTCCTAAGATGTCATGTCACTAATTAAAACTTAAGAAAATATGGATGAGTTATGTGATCTGTATAAAGAGCCTCGTGACACATACAGGCTGGTCAGGTTTAAATATTCCCTGTCACACAGGAAAAGGAAATTGTGATCTGATTTTAGCAATCAAAGAGCACAGGATGAAGTCTAGTAACATTTCTTTGTATCCTTGTTTGCAATAACTCTTCCAAGCATATTTTAGTCAAACAAAGGCATGGCCAGGATTGATTGGTACTCAGTTGGGAAAAAGGTGAGCAGGCAGAAAAATGATGGAGAAATGTGGGGATGGGGGGGAGTTTTTGTATCTCTTTCCTTCTTTGCACTTATGATCACTTAAAACATAAGAAGCATTCACCCTTCATTTGGGTCTTATTACTTTACTAAAAAAAAATATTGGGATTATGGAAAGCTCTCATTTAGCTTGAATACACTTAAGCATACCATGTTTAGAACTTTATAACATCTTCACTTTTTACCTTCATGTATTA